AGTTGGCTTAAAGCTCAACATTCAGAAAACTAAGATCATGGCATCCGGTCCCATCACTTCATGGCAAATAGATGGGGAAACAGTGGAAACAGTGGCTGACTTAATTTTTCTGGGTTCCAAAATCACTGCAGATGGTGATTGCAGCCATGAAATTAAAAGACACTTACTCCTTGGAAGGAAAATTATGACCAACCTAGACCGCATATTAAAAAGCAGAAACATTACTTTGCCAACAAAGGTCTGTCTAGTCAAGGCTATGGTTTTTCCAATAGTCACGTATAGATGTGAGAGTTAGACTATAAAGAAAGCTGAGTGCTGAAGAATTGATGCTTTTGAACTGTGCTGTTGGAGAAGACTCCTGAGAGTCCCTTGGACTGCAAGGAGATCCAACCAGTCCATCCTAAAGGAGATCAGTCCTGGGTGTTCATTGGAAGGACTTATGCTGAAGCTGAAACTCCAGTACTTTGGCCACCTGATGCAAAGAGTTGACTCATGGAAAAGACCCTGATGCTGGGAAAGATTGAGGGCAGGAGGAGAAGGGGATGACAGAGGATGAGATGGTTGGATGGCATCACAAACTCAATGGACATGAGTTTGGGTGGACTCCAGGAGTTGGTGATGGACAGGGAGGCCTGGCGTGCTGCAGTTCATGGGGTCATAAAGACATGACTGAGTGACTGAACTGAACTAAACTGAGAAACAACATTCCAGTAGCAATGAGCACACCTGGCAATGAGATTTTGGTTTCTAGATCTTATTCTCCAGGAGAAGGAGCTAGAGCTCCTTGGGGAAGTGGCTGATTCAGCCCTCCATACCTGCATGCTAAGTCACTTCAGTTGTGTCCAACTCTGTGTGACTCTGTGGGTGGTAGCCCACCAGGCTTCTCTGTCCGTGGGATTCTTTAGGCAAGAAGACTGGAGAGGATTGCTATGCCCTCCTCCAGGGGAATCTTCCCAACCCAGGCACCCAACCAGCATCTCTTATGTCTTCTGCATTGGCAGGCGGATTCTTTACCACTTGCCCCACCTGGGAAGCCCATTCAGACCTGGGGAAGGGAAAATATGAGATGAACTTGAAATATTTTGTGATGCTACAAAGTAATGAAATGCTCAGAAAGAATGGGACCTGTTGAAAGCATGCAGGAACCAAACTTTTGATGGCGAAAGCCAGAAAATTTGAGCAATAAAATTAATACTAAATAATAATAGTATTGGATTATAACTCAAAGAATAAAGTAAACATTTATGAGTCCATATTCATATATGTAAGAAACTAAAGAAATAAATGAGGGAGAAGCAAAGGCTCTTACCTGCATTAGAATTCCAATTTAATAAATTGAGAAGGAAAGAGTAAAATTAAAAAAAATCACCATTAAGCAAAACAGTTATTGCATCCAGTATCCACTGATGAATATTAAAATTAGTGGGTGTAAATTTGAGGAGAAACAGTATATTTGCTCCATCTCACAATATCTTCCCACTGCTGCTGCTGCTGCTGCTAAGTCACTTCAGTCGTGTCCGACTCTGTGCAACCCCATAGATGGCAGCCCACCAGGCCCCCCCATGCCTGGGATTCTCCAGGCAAGAACACTGGAGTGGGTTGCCATTTCCTTCTCCAATGCATGAAAGTGAAAAGTGAAAGTGAAGTCGCTCAACTGTGTCCGACTCTTAGCGACCCCATGGACCGCAGCCTACCAGGCTCCTCCGTCCATGGGATTTTCCAGGCGAGAGTACTGGAGTGGGGTGCCATTGCCTTCTCCGATCTTCCCACTAGATATTTATTAATCAGAAAGTGAAAATAGGAACCCTATAGACACCACCTAAACCAAATGATCAAGGTTAACATCATCAGGAAGAAGACGTATTGATATCATAAGCCCTTTGATAGGATGGGTTGGTAAAGATAACATCATCTCTGTGGTATTATTGCCCAAAAGGAATAATCTCACTCTAATGAGGAAACCACAAATGAACCCATAATGAGGGACAAGTCTGAGGGAGAGGTGACCAGGACTCCTAAAGTGTCAAGGACATGAAAGCAAAAAGACACTGAGGAGCTGTCACAGATTGGAGGAGAGGAAGGAGACGCAGCAACTAAAGGTAATGGGGACCCTGGATGGATCGTGGACCACAGAAGCGGCATTAGTAGCGGCATTAGTGAGAAATAAGGGTGAAGCTGAAACAAAGTCTGCAGTTTAGTGAATAGTATTACATTGCTGTTGTTTAGTTGCTAAATTGTTTCTGACTCTTTCTGGATCCTATGGCCTGTAGCCCACTAGGCTCCTCTGTTCATGGGATTTCCCAGACAAGAATACTAGAGTGGGTTGCCATTTTCTTCTCCAGGGGATCTTCCCAACAAAGGGTTCGAACCCAAGTCTCTTGCATTGGCAGGAGGATTCTTTATCACTGAGCCACGCCAGGCGCCTGAACAGGGTTACATCAATGTTAATTTCATGGTTCTGAACACTGTATGGTTATATAAGATGTTAAAATTAAGAGAAACAGGGTGAGGGGGTTAATGAGAGCTCTATTATTTCTATAGCTTTTCTGTAAGGCTCATATTAGTTCAAAATTAAAAGCTAAAAAGAAGAAAGTAATGAAAAAAACTTTAAATTAGTTCACTGGAATCATTTGTGTGTGTGAAAAATATCTTAAAATAACTTCTCCATGAAACAAACACCTGATACTGCTGTGTTTATATCAAAGAAGAAACACTTCAAGAAATACCCTCACTGTGTTAAATATAGTATATTAGTTCTAACAAGCAGAGTACTTTAATACTTAGACCATATTCGAAAGCTCCAAACCTAGTGTTGGCTCCTTTGTTTATAGACACAATAAACTCTATTTTTTCCCTCTTTGGGGATTTTGGGAACCTCTTCTTGAGGGAGGCACACCAGAGGTGAGATGTGAAGTCTGAACAGGAGTTAGCCAGAGACAGAGTGGGCTGGAACATTCCAGCACAAGGAATTGCAAGTATGAAGTCCCTGTGACGCAAAACAGTTTGGTTTGCTCAGGAACTGGTAAAAGTCCACAATAGTAGGAATTAAGTGGTGTGAGTGAGGCTGAAGAGAGTGGCAGGAGGGGACACATAAGACCACACAGGAGAATTTAGAATGATTCTATCAGCAGTGGAAGTTTCTGAAGGGTTTGAGGAGAGGAGATACGTGACTTTGGCAAGTCATCTCCTCCCACTCTCTGTTACTGGCTTTAAATGCTCATTAATATTATGCTGACCAGAGTTCTTTATCTGCAGTGACAAATAAGACGTGGGATTAGGCCAACAGGGCCAGGCTGCCAAACCACAGTGATGAACCTCCTAGGGAAACTTCTGTCCCTGGAGAGTTGAGAGAGTCAAGGTTGTGTCCTCCTTGTGGGTGTAGTACAGATGTTCCAAATCCCTTAGAAAGTTTACCTGAAATGAAATACCAAAGACTTTCCTAAAACGTTGATGCCACATTGAAAATTTTTTTTCTTTCCCTTTGGATGTTTAGTATTGTAGTACAGCCCGATCCAATCACAGAGTTGTGTGACTTCAAATTTTTGTGCCAAAATTTTTGAAATATTACAGCATTTACTACTGGAATGTGACAATGTCATATAATTCTTAAAGTTCACATGGCTCAACAGATATGGTGGTGGAACCAACAAGACGGAATAGCTCTCTATCCACATAAACACATGTACCTTCTCACCTGGTTTTCCAATAGCTCTGAGTGCCTGAGGCCCAGAAGAGGACAGGAATGTTTTAAGATGAGCCAAGAAAGTACCTGCGTTAGGAAAGAGTTTCTTTGTTTTTCCCCCTAACTTTGCTTCGAAGCCAAGAATATTATTACCTTCTAATGTCAGCCTCCCAATCCAATTAAGGAGCAAGCTTTATTTCTTTGATTAGAAATAGAAACAACCAAATTCCTGTCAGTTAGTTGAAGCTCAGTATCTGGCTAAGTCAGGAGCAGTCTCTTCCCATTCAGCTTACCTAGGAATATTTTTCGCAAGACAAAAGAATGACGATTTCTGGTAACTTCAGGATTTAGAAGAGAAGGAGAAACTTTTTGTGCATAATGTCTATTGTCCAAAAATCTCTCCAAGATCTATATGCTCACTTTTCTTACCTTTGTAAGTATATTGAACTTTTGCAACTTGTTCTTTGATTACTAAGGACACCACAGTTTCATGGACAACTTCCTGCATTCACAGTCATTGTTCAGTTCTGGGTTAAAAACATAGAAGTCTGGACCAAATCTGCACAAAACACAGTATTTCAAGCTCTGTTGCTTGAAATTTTTTAAAAAGAGAGTATCCTAGAGACCTTGCTTTAAAAACATTCTTTTTCTTGTACACCAGAAATGCAGAAGGAAAAAAGAAATCAGTTAATGAATCATTCTGATTTACTGGCTTGCAGCTGGTAGAGTTAAAAACAAAACCAAAAAAAAAAAAAAAACCTGTATCACAGATCAGTTCAAAGTTTTGTTACTTCCAAAAAATCAAAAGGCGCTTACATGTATGTGGTCAAAACTGCAAAGGAAAAAAAAATGACGTGCCCAGGAAAGGGATCTTACTTTAGAAACGTTGCCCCTTTCTAGCGTCCGTCCCCTGCGAGCCCAACTCTTTCCCGGAGTTTGGTTTTTAAAAGCGCAGGCATCGCCTCCTTCCTGGAATGTTCCCCGTAGAAGGGCAGCTGGTCCGTGGGGCCGCGGCGGGGGTGGCGACAGCCTGCCACGTGGGGGCAAGTGCAATGTGCGAGGGTACGGTCACCGACCGCAAGATACCAGCTGCGGGTACCACCCAGGGCGACTACCGTCAGCCTTCCTCCACCGTCACCCGCAACCCCCGCAACAAGTGTGAGCAAGTTCTCAGCGCGCGCGTGGTATTGGTGTTTCTTCCCTGGGCTCCCGGGCTCCCCGCGCGGGCCTGCGCTCCTCCGGCTCGGCGCGCCTGAAAGCAAAATCCGAGGCAGGCTGGACGAAATCTGTCGGCTGGCCCCGGCCGGGATACTCCTACCTGCTCGTCCCGTCGGCGCGGCCACCAGCAGCAGGAACAGCAGGGCCAGGAGGCCGGGTGCCGGGGCCCCTCTGGCCGCCACCCTCGCTGAGGGTCCGGGGGCGCACATGGGCGCCGGGGCTGGGTCACATCTCTGCAGGCAGCCGTCAGCATGGGACGCCCCCTCGGGCCGCGGGCGCTGGCAGCGCTGTCTCCGCTCCGCAGCCTGGGCCCGGGCTCAGGCTGCGCGCCGCGCTCCAATCGGCTGGCTGCCCGGGGAGGCGGAGCTGCGGGGAGCCCCACCCGCGTCCCGCCCGACCCGGGGCTGGGTGCCAGCGCCAGGGGAGTGTCTGACTTCCCCTCCCATCCCGGCCGACTCGCAGCTCCGAGATTCCGTGACTTTTATCTCCCCAACCAACGAGGTCACTTGTTATTGTTGTTTAGTCTCTAAGTCGTGTGGTTCTCTTTTGCAACCCCCATGGACTGTAGCCCACCAGGCTCCTCTGTTCATAGGATTTTCCAGACAAGAATACTGGAATGGGTTGCTATTTCCTTCTCCGGGGGATCTTCCCCCCCGAGGGATGGAACCCACCTCTCTTGCAGTGCAGGCAGGTTCTTTGCCGCTATGCCACTGGGGAAGTCCAAGGCTTTAAGCAGTTCCTCATAGCAAATTCTTTCTGTTAAAGTAAATAGTGGGATGTTCTGAGAGAACAGCATTGAAACAAGTATACTAACAAGGGTGAAACAGATCACCAGCCCAGGTTGGATGCAGGAGACAAGTGCTCAGGGCTGGTGCACTGGGAAGACCCAGAGGGATGGGATGGGGAGGGAGGTGGGAGGGGGGATCGGGATGGGGAACACATGTAAATCCATGGCTGATTCATGTCAATGTATGACAAAAACCACCACAATATTGTTAAGTAATTAGCCTCCAACTAATTAAATAAATAAATAAATAAATAAACTCCCCTACCAAAAATAAATAAATAAAATAAAGTAAATAGTGTGTTTTCTGTTTTCCTAACTGGACTCATTGATTTGGTAAGAGTTTAGGAAGGACAACATTTTTAAAAAGGCTTTATGCTATCAATGGGCTTCCCAGGTAGCACTAGTGGTAAAAGAACCCACCTGTCAATGCAGGAAACATGAGACGTGGGTTTGATCCCTGGGTCGGAAGATCCCCCTGGAGGAGGCTTGGCAGTCCACTTCAGTAGTCTTGCCTGGAGATCCCCATGGACAGAGGAATCCGGTGGGCTACAGTCCATGGGGTTGCCAAGGAGACCCACATGACTTAGGGACTAAACATGTAACACGCAATACCATGTCTCAAAAACTGAAGAGTTGGAGGAAGATTTGATGAGATAAGATTCCATAGGCTTTTAAAGGACTTCCCTGTGGCTCAGCTGGTAAAGAATCTGCCCGCAATGCGGGAGACCTGGGTTCTATCCCTGGGTTGGGAAGATTCCCTGGAGAAGGGAAAGGCTGCCCAGTCCAGTATTCTGGCCTGGAGAATTCCATGGACTGTATATAGTCCACGGGGTCACAAAGAGTCGTACACAAATGAACGACTTTCACTTCTTTCACTAAAGCAGTTAAGTCCCTTTCTGGATTTTAAATACTAGATACACACACACACACACACACACACACACACACACACACTCTAAAGTGTCACTCAGCCATAGCAAAGAATGAAATAATGCCATTTGCAACAACATGAATGAACCTAGAGAATATATACTAAGTAAGCGAGACAAAGACAAATATGTGCTATCACTTATATGTAGAGTCTAAAATATAATACAAATGAGTATATATACAAAAAAGAAACAGACTTACAGACATAAAAACTAACATGGTTACCAAAGGGGAAAGGGAATGAGGGATGGATAAATGAGGAGAATGAGATTAACAAATACAAACTACTATACATAAAACAGATAAACAGCAAAGACTTATTGCAGAGCACAGGGAAGTATATTCAATATCTTGTAGTAACCTATATGGAAAATAACCTAAAAATATGTGTACATATAACTGAGCCATTTTTTTCTCTATCTGAAATTAACACAATATTGTACATCAACTATATTTCCGTTAAAAATTAGTCTAGCACCATCATTGTTATTTCAGTTCTGGTGGGTTAAACATGATGTATATTTGCCACAAAGGTATTTTGAGTGGATCTAAACCTTTGGTATCTAAACCTTAAGATTTGTGTGTGTTTTGGTTCCAATGTGAATTGTTCATGGCCCTAAAAGGGCTGAGGCAAATATACATAACCTTCCCTCCCTGTCTCCTAACCACCCCCCCTTTTTAAAATTGATGCATAGCTGATTTACAATGTTGTGTTAATTTCTGCCATCAGCAAAGTGATTCAGTTATACATATATATTGTTTTTCATATTCTTTCCTGTTATGGTTTATCACAGAATACTGAGTATAGGTCTCTGTGATCTATAGTCTCCTAACCCTTCTTAACTAGAGCAGAACAGTTTATTGGTTCCCCCTTCTAGGAAGCAGAAATGGGGAGCGTACCTGAGACCTGTAGTCCTTTCCGCTTATGAGTGGGCACCCCTTGTGTGTGCGGCAACCATCTTCTGTGTTCCCTTGCCACCCCCCTCACCTTCCTCCTCAGCTTCTCCTGTGCACTGATCAGACAGGAAGTCAGAATTTTATGGTCTCGTACCTGTGAACACTCTCACGTTTCTGTCCTCAGGTTGCCCGTGGCTTTTGCAGGATGAGTGTGACCTGAGCAATTGCTAGGCCTTCAGTTGTTGCCCATGCATTAAAGAGGACAGACATGACTTTTGCTTTTAGCTGTGACCTGGAATTCACCTTAGGGCGTTTCCTTAGGACCTTTAAATTCTACCATCTTCTCACCATTGTGAACTTCAGTAAGAGACAGTCTCAGTCCCTCCCAGTCTAAACCTCTCAGGTTGAAATAAATCCTAGTATATCCTTCTGCAGATTTTTGAAATGACTCAACACATTCAGTTTTTCTTCTCCTCAAAAACATTACAATTTTTCTTGCCATGACTTATCACACTGGAATCTTGGTTCTGTGACACCTGATGTATGAGTTTCTGGGCTTTCTGTTCAGAAAGGTCATAAACCAATCCTTCCCATTCCAGCCCGGACATTAATACCACAAACAGATATTATAAATTTTACCTATTCCAGTTTAACTCCTAAATAGTTTCCAGGGATAATATCATCATCATCATCTGAAGTTACTATGTTCTGTTGTCAGCCAGGTACCAACTAAAATTTCTATATTTGCTACTTTCTTTAGTCCTTAAAACAATTCTGTGAGTTATATTACATCGAGTTACAAAAGAAGCAAACACGCTTGTACAGATGGTTTACTCAAAGGGACAGAACAAGGATCTGAATCCTGGTTAATACAATTCCAAAGTCTGGATTTTAATGACTTCCTTGTATGCCTTTTATATTAATACATAACAAAATGAATCATATACATATGAGGGGTGAACTGTGAAAGAGCGCACGTAGTAAGACGTATTCTGATTAATTTATGAGAATGCAGCAGACTTGATTTCCTTAGTGTAAACTACCCTGTGAGTGGGAAGAGATGCCATTCCCAGACACCCAGGCATGGACAGGGCAGGATCAGAACGTAATAAGATTACTGCTCCAAGAGTACACCTGAAAATTAGGGGACAGGTGGCAGGCAGAGCAAGAGAAGTGGCAAGATAAAGTTCTCTGAAAAGGGCTGGGGGTGGTGGCAGAAAAGGAGAGTTCTGGGGAAGTAATAAGCATCCAGTATTTACAGGATTTCTACAGTCCTTTTAGGCTACTCTACCATGCTCTGTTCATTGATTGAATGAACTACTCTGTGGCTATATGGGGCCATTAGTACTTTTTGATATGCTGTCTGCTTAAATCCAGATTATATCTAATATTTCAAATCCTACGGAATCTTATCAAATCTTCCCCCAACTCTTCAGTTTTTATTTTGGGAAGTGCTGTGTGTTCAGTCACTAAGTCATGTCTGACTCTTGTAACCCCATAGACTGTAGCCTTCGAGGCCTCTCTGTCCAGGGGNTCCTTTAGGATGGACTGGTTTGATCTCCTTGCAGTCCAAGGGACTCTCAAGAGTCTTCTCCAACACCACAGTTCAAAAGCATCAATTCTTCAGCACTCAGCTTTTTTTATACTCTAATTCTCATACCCATACATGACTACTGGAAAAACCATAGCTTTAACTACATGGACCTTTGTTGGTAATGTAATGTCTCTGCCTTTTAATTTGCTGTCTAGGTTGGTCATAACTTTTCTTCCAAGGAGCAAGTGTCTTTTCATTTCATGACTGCAGTCACCATCTGCAGTAATTTTGGAGCCCCCCCCAAATAAAGCCTGTCACTATTTCCATTGTTTCTCTATCTATTTGCCTTGAAGGGGTGGGACTGGATGCCATGATCTTAGTTGAATGTTGAGTTTTAAGCCAACTTTTTTTCCCCTTTATATATATATATTGTGAATGTATTTGTTTTTTAATAGAAGGATAATTATTTTACAGAATTTTGTTGTTTTCTGTCAAACACCAACATGAATCAGCCATAGGTATACATATATCCTGTCCCTTTTGAACCTCCCTCCCATCTCCCTCCCCCATCCCACCATTCTAGGTTGATACAGAGCCCCTCTTTGAGTTTCCTGAGACATACAGCAAATTCCCATAGGCTTTCTATTCTACACATGGTAATGTAAGTTACCATGTTACTCTCTCCACGCATCTTACCCTCTCCTCCTCTCTCCACATGTTCATAAGTCTATTCTCCACGTGTATTTCTCCATTGCTGTCCTGCCAATAAATTCTTCAGCACCATTTTTCTAGATTCCATATATAAGCATTAGAATATAACATTTATCTTTCTCTTTCCGACTTACTTCAGGCTCTAGGTTCATCCACCTCATTAGAACTGACTCAGATGCCTTCCTTTTTATGGCTAAGTAATATTCCATTGTGTATATGTACCATAACTTCTTTATCCATTCATCTGTTGATGGACATTTAGGTTACTTCCATGTTCTAGCTACTGTTAATAGTCCTGTAGTGAACAATGGGATACATGTGTCTTTTTCAATTTTGGTTTCCTCAGGATATATGCCTAGGAGTGGGATTGCTGGTTCATATAGTGGTTTTACTCCTAGATTTTTAAGGAATCTCCAAATGGC